ACATCAAAGCATCCGGGTGTCCCTTGAGCAACATCCTTGCAGATGACCAATTTTGGGGACTCAAATCGGGGAGAGCATGGATGAGCTCCCTCTGTCAGCTCCAGCTCCTCATGCAGGTACATGAGAGAAGCCTCCCACAAGGATGGTGAAACATCAAAACATCTGGACATCCCCTGGACAACATCCCCTGGGCAGCATCCTTGCAGATGACCAATTTTGGGGGCTCAAATCCAGGAGAGCGTGGATGAGCTCCCTCTGTCAGCTCCAGCTCATGCAGGTACATGAGAGAAGCCTCCCACAAGGATGATGAAACATCAAAACATCTGGACGTCCCCTGGGCAACATCCTTGCAGACTGTCAATTTTCGAGGCTCGAATCCAGGAGAGCGTGGATGAGCTCCCTCTGTCAGCTCCAGCTCCTCATGCAGGTACATGAGAGAAGCCTTCCACAAGGATGGTAAAACATCAAAAGATCTGGGCATTCCCTGAGCAAAGTCTTTCCAGACAGCCAATTCTTTCACACCAGAAAGAACTTGCAGTTTCTCAAGTTGCTCCTGACATGGGAATAAAAGTTCTAGAAGAAACAAATATTCATTTCCTTGCTTTGTGTCCCTACAGTCCCAGGTTCCCAATATAATAAAAACAAGCAAAAAAAATACCCTGGAAGATATTGGGGAATCCTAAGTAAACTAAGCAAGGGAAGGGGAGAAAAATCCTCCACAGTGCAGATATATGAGCCTGGAAGATCCCCTAATCTGTGTGACAGTCTAATTTCACAAGTGGCGAAGAGTCCTCTCAATTGATGGCTCTGAATGGGTGCCCTCGGGGGAAGAAGTGGGGAGGAGGAAGTTTTGTCAGAAGGAGAAGGAGGAAGAAGAAGGGAATCAAAAGACCCTCGTTGAGCTGGAGAAGAATGATTAAGAGAGGGCTCCGCTGCCTGCCACCCACCTAAAGTCGATAGCACTCCAATGGACAGGCGGGGAGCGGACTATATAAGGCCGGTGTTGGATGGCTCTCTCGTCCAAGGACGGCTTCAGAACCCACTTTGGCCCGATTGCTGACAAAACCTCCATTGAAGAAGGCGCCAGAAGCCAGTCTGCAGGGAGAGGCCACTTTCCCCTCCCAGCACGGTAAGGCCATCTTCTCTCGACAGGGACAGGGCTGCTTAGCTATGCATTTCCCTTTCCCTTAAGCCCCTCTCCCTTATGTTATTGGTGCCTGGCCCCCAAATGTTCTACTATGAAGGGACTGGGGGTGAACCGTCTGTCTGGAGATTTAATAGCTGGTGTCACGACTCATCACACTAGAGAACGAATCCACTTAAAATCCGGTTTCTGCTTTCTGCAGAATTCTGGGGTTTGTAGTATAGATAGAACCCTTTGACAGACTCACTAAACTACAAATCCCAGAATCCTGCAGGAGGCAGAGACTGGATTTAAAGTGGATTCATTCTCTAGTGTGATGAGGTAGTAAGAATAGGCCAGTTTGAGAGATTTGTTGTGTGAGTCAGGAGCGACTTGAGAAACTGCAAGTCGCTTCTGGTGTGAGAGAATTGGCCATCTTCAAGGACGTTACCCAAGGGATACTCAGATGTTTTACCATCCTGTGGGAGGCTTCTCTCATGTCCCGGCATGAGAAGCTGGAGGTGACAGGCGGGAGCTCACCCCGCTCCCTTGATCTCCCCGGATTCGAACCTCCTGCCGGCACAAGGGTTTAACCCATTGCCCCAACGGGGGCTCCTTAGTTTGGGGGATTAACCTGGATGTTAATCTCAGTTCGTGTTCTGCATCTGCGTGGGTAGGAGCGTGGGGGGCATTTCGTGGCTCTGAAAGGCACCGCAGGGAGTTTGGGCTCAGTCAGAAAAGAAACCCACCCTCTTGGGGAGAAAGGGCCTCGGGAGAGAGAGAACAAATCCAAGGCGGGTTTGGGAACAACTGAATTCATTTTCTCCCCCTTCTTAATCCTAATTGTTCTCTATATTTGGACGAGCTTACTCAGGGGTATTAAGGGCCCGAGCTCGGGAGCCTTTCGCCCTCCAGAGATTGGTTTTCCAAACAAAAACACACCCAAAACCCATGCAATCCCAAACTCAAAGGAAAAGAGCCATTGAAAAAGAAGGTGGGGAGAAAGAAAAGGAAGAGTTCCCCACAATGACGTTGTTCACCCCTAGAAGGCAAATAAAAAGAAGTGTTCTCGAAGGCTTTCATGGCCGGAATCACTAGGTTGCTGAGAGTTTTCCGGGCTGTATGGCCATGTTCCAGAAGCATTTTCTCCTGACGTTTCACCCACATCTGTGGCAGGCATCCTCAGAGGTTGGGAGGTCTATTGGAAACTCGACAGGGGAGGTTTATATATCTGTGGAAGGTCCAGGGTGGGAGAAAAAATTCTTGTCTCAATGTGTGGTCGAAGGCTTTCATGGCCGGAATCACCAGGTTGTTGTATGTTTTCCGGACTGTATGGCTGTATTCCAGAAGCATGCTGTCCTGACATTTCGCCTGCATCTATGGCAGGCATTCTCGGAAGTTGGGAGGTTTATTGGAAACTCGACAAGGGAGGTTTATATATATGTGGAAGGTCCAGGGTGGGAGAAAGAATTCTTGTCTGTTAGAGGCCAGGTGTGAATGTTGAAATTAATCACCTTGATTTGCATTGAAAAGCCTTGCAGCTTCAAGGCCTGGCTGATTCCTGCCTGGGGGAATCCTTTATTGCCAAGGCTATTCAATGCAAATCAAGGTGATAAATTACAACATTCACACTCGACTCCAACAGTATCCTCAGGCGTTGTGAGGTCTGATGGAAACAAGGTAAGTGGGGTTTATATATCTGTGGAAAGTCCAGGGTGGGAGAAAGAACTCTTGTCTGTTGGAGGCAAGTGTGAATGCCCTTGCAGATTCAAGAGCTGGCTGCTTGAATTCTCCCAGGCAGTAAGCAGCCAGACCTTGAATGTGCAAGGCTATTCAATGCTAAACCAGGTGGCCAACTGCTACATTAACACTTGCCTCAAACAGACAAGAGTCCTTTCTCCCACCCTGGACTTTCCACAGATATATAAACCCCACTTGCCTAGTTTTCCACAGACCTTACAACGCCCTACAACGATGCTGTTGGGATCAAGTGGGGAGATGGTGGCGGGGTATAAATAAAGAATATTATTATTATTATATTATTATTATTAATAATGTTGCAATTGATCACCTTGATTTGCATTGAAATGCCTTTCCTGCCCAGGCAGGAATCAACCAGGCCTTGAAGCTGCAAGGCTTTTCAATGCAAATCAAGGTGATTAATTTCAACATTCACACATTTCTCCAACAGACAAGAGTTCTTTCTCCCACCCTGGACCTTCCACAGATATATGAACCTCCTTTGTCGAGTTTCCAATAGACAGTCAACCTCTGAAGATGCCTGCCATAAGAAACGTCAGGAGAGAATCACGGGTGTCTGTTTCCAACAGACCTCACTACCTCTGAGGATGCCTGCCATAGGTGCAGGCGAAACGTCAGGAGGCAATGCTTTTGAAACATGGCCACACAGCCTGGAAAAACTCACAGCGATCCAGAAAAAAGAAGTCATTCCCAGCTGTCAAACTTTCTCAGACTCAGTGTGCGTGCTTTTGAGTCACGTCGGTTCCTGAGACTAATTCTGAAGGGGGGGAGAAGCGGTTGTGTCTGTCTCCGTCGGATAAAAAAGTGACTTAAAAGAGGAGACGGGACGCCTTGAGGCGCTTCCAATGGCACGTGAGGCCAACGCCGCTTCCTCTCGGCTGGAGTTGAGCGGTTTACTCCGGAATAGATAGAAAAGTCTCTTGAAAGCCCGAAGAAGAGAACAGAGCAGAGGAGCCTGAGGTTCAGGGCCCTTCCACACAGGCGTATAACCCAGAATATCAAGGCAGACAATCTCACACTCTACTAGAGAATGAATCCACTTTAAATCCATTTGCTGCCTCCTGCAGAATTATGGGATTTGTAGTTTAGGCTGTTAAAGGCCCCCTCCTTAAACTACAAATTCCAGAATTCTGCAGGAGGCAGCAACTGGATTTAAAATAAATTCATTCTTTTGTGGGATGAGGTCCAATATCTGCTTTGAACTGGGTTATCTGAGTCCACACTGCCATATATTCCAGTTCCAAGCAGATAGTGTGGGATTTCATTCAGCTGTATGGAAGGGGACTTAGATGTCCCTCTGGATAAACCTCCCCACATTTATCCAGGCAGAGGTCCCCGCTCTCCCTTTCCCTGGCTTGTGCCACAATCTCCAAGTGACAAACTTCTCCTTCAAGGCTCAAGAGGAGCTGGGTTGTTGTATGGCCATGTTCTGGAAGCATTCTCTCATGACGTTTCGCCTACATCTATGGCAAACATCCTCAGAGGTTGTGAGGGGAAACATTCACACCTACTTCCAGCAGACAAAGCTTCTTTCTCTCACCCCGGACCTTCACAGATTGGGTTGTTGTAGGTTTTTCGGGCTGTATGGCCATGTTCTTGAAGCATTCTCTCCTGACGTTTCGCCTGCATCTGTGGCAAGCAACTTCAGAGGTTGTGAGGTATTTGCACTAGATGCAGGCGAAACGTCAGGAGAGAATGCTCTAGAAATGCATTTGTTGTTTATTCGTTCAATTGCTTCCGACTTTTCGTGACCTTATGGACCAGCCCATGCCAGAGCTCCCTGTCAGCCGTGCCCCCCCCCCCTTCAAGGTCAAGCCAGTCATTTTGCCCTTGGTCGGCCCCTCCTCCTTTTTCCTTCCATTCCCCAGCATCATTCTTCTCTAAGCTTCCTGTCTTCTCAAACATGGCCACACAGCCCGAAAAACCTACAACAACTCAGTGATTCCGGCCACGAAAGCCTTCGACAACACCCTCCAGAGGAGCGCTTGGAAAGAAGGAGGAGGAGAAGGGGAGGAGGGGAAAAGCCGGGCAAATCTCCCCGCAAAGTCCCTCTGGATTGGAATACGCCTCCTGGCCCTGCAGTGCTTAATACCCTCCTCCTAATCCGTGTCTATTAATGTGCCCGAAAGGGATCTGGGGTCTGAGAGAGGAGGAAGAGAAGCTCAGCCCGGTGGGCGGGGAGGCGCCTCCTCTTTCTGCCCCTTCCGTCTCTCAATCTCTCCGTCTCTCTCTGTGGCTCCGTCCTGCCTCTCATTCGGACCCAGGGCCTCGGAGAAGGACGGGAGGGCGAGAGGGGGCGCAACCTGGTGAGGGTCTTCTTCGCTAGCTTGGCCTGGTCCCCGTCTGGTCCCAACATGAGGAGGCAGGAGCGGCGGGCGCGCAGCCGGAGGAGCTAACCCCCGGGCGGTCCTCTCGCCCCTCTCTCTCCCCGCAGGAGGCCGAGAGATGCCCGCGGACAAGGCAGGCCCGCTCCGGAACCGACGGCGCCGGCCCCGCGCGCTGCCTGCCCTCCTGCTCCTCTTGCTCCTGGCCTCGGGGCGGGCGGAAGCGGGCCCTGCCGGAGGAGGGCGAGGGCGCGGAGCCGGCAAGGGTAGGAACCGCGACCCGCCTAGCGCCTCGCTGCCGTCGGTGGACAGGAAGACGCTGCTGGAGCTGCTGCTCAAAGCCTTAGCCGAGAGGGACAGCGGCCTCCCGCAGGCGCCCTCGCCTCCCCTCGGGGCCGAGCGGGTCATCGCCCGACGGTACACCTCCTCGGCAGGAGCCCTTCACGCCCCGGAGCCCGAGGCCAGGCTGGCCGCCTTCTCCTCCTCCTCCTCGTCGTCCTCCAACTCCAGGGAGAGGCTCCCCGGACAGGCGCCGCGCCTCTTCTCCTCGCCCAGGCACTCAGGTAAGGCCAAGGCCGCCCCCCCCCCCCAATATCCAGAAAGTAACCATTCCCTTCTCTGAGTGAGTGGTGAAAGGCACGTTCTTAGTCTATCCTGAACCGGAGCCCTCGGTCAACTCCAGCTCCCCATGTTGGGACGTGAAAGAAGCCTCCCACAAGAATGGTAAAACATAATAAAACATCTGGGCCTCCCCTGGGTAACGTCCTTGCAGACAGCCAATTCTCTCACACCAGAAGCGACTTGCGGTTTCTCAAGTCGCTCCTGACAAGAAAAAAAGGCACCACTTTGTAGTCAGGATTCTCTCTCGCCTTTGCAACAGTTCAGGAGAGCCTCTCTCTCTTCCAGAAGGGAACCATTTCCTTCTCTGAGTAGAGTGGTGAAAGGCAAGTTCTTCGTCTAGCCTGAGAAAACATGATCAGAGAGGGCAATAAGGGTGGCCAGCACGTTTGGCAGCACTTTCTAGTCAGGGCTCTCTCTCTCTCTGTCTCTGTCTCTCTCTTCCAGAAAAGAACTATTTCCTTCTCTGAGTAGAGTAGTGAACGGAAAGTTCTTAGTCTATCCTGAACCAGAGCCCCCGTGGCACAATGGATTACACCCTTGTGCCGGCAGGACTGAAGACCGACAGGTCGCAGGTTCGAACCCGGGGAGAGCGCGGATGAGCTCCCTCTGTCAGCTCCAGCTCCCCATGTGGGGACATGAGAGAAGCCTCCCACAAGGATGGTAAAGCATCAAAAACATCCTGGCGTGTCCCCTGGGTAACGTCCTTGCAGACAGCCAATTCTCTCATACCAGAAGCGACTTGCAGCTTCTCAAGTTGCTCCTGACACGGAAAAAATAAAGTATATCCCGAGAAAACATGATCAGAGAGGACAATAAGGGTGGCCAGCATGATTGGCACCAATTTGTAGTCAGGACTCTCGCCTTTCTAAAAGTTCAGGAGCGCCTCACTCTCTTTCAGAAAGGAACCACTTGCTTCTCTGAGTAGAGTGGTGGAAAGCAAGTTCTTAGTCTATCCTGAGAAAACATGATCAGAGAGAACAATAAGGGTGGCCAGCACGTTTGGCAGCACTTTGTAGTCGGGACTCTCTCTCACCTTCGCAACAGTCCAGGAGTGCCTCCCCCCCCCCTCATGTTTCCACCCTTCTTACCCCTTGAGACATCCTTTCCCTCACCAGGAGGCTCCAGGGAGGGGGCCCTTAACAGCCTCACTAAACTGCAAATCTCAGAATTCTGCAGGAGGCAAAAACCGGATTTTAAGTGGATTTTTTCTCTCTAGTGTGATGAAGTCTTTGGGATCTGATCCATTTCAAGTTCGCACAGATCTAAGAAGGAAAAGTTCCGACATAAATGTATGAGCTAAGTGATACTGTAGGATAGTGGTTCTCAACCTGTGGGTCCCCAGATGTTTTGGCTCTCAACTCCCAGAAATCAGCTGATAAACTGGCTGGGATTTCTGGGAGTTGTAGGCCAAAACACCTGGGGACCCATAGGTTGAGAACCACTGCTGAAGGAGTAGGTGATCCAAGCAGCCAGCAGCAATAATTGAGTTGGAAAGACCTCATGGGCCATCCAGTCCAACCCCTTGCCAAGAAGCAGGAAAATCACATTCAAAGCACCCCCAACAGATGGCCATCCAGCCTCTGTTTAAAAGCCTCCAAAGAAGGAGCCTAGGTACAAGTCATACAAGACACACAACACCACAACACGACTTGTATGTCTCTTGCCTAGATGTTAAGTGAGATAGAGCCCTTTGGGATCTTCATCAGCCCACAATATGTTGTCCAAGGCTTTCATGGCTGGAATCACTGCATTGCTGTGAGTTTTCTGGCCTGCCTGGCCATATTCCAGAAGCATTCTCTCCTGACATTTCACCCACATCTATGGCAGGCACCCTCAGAAGTTGGGAAGTTTGTTGGAAACAAGGCACGTGGGGTTTATATATCTGTGGAATGTCCAGGGTGGGAGAAGGAACTCTTGTGTGCTTGAGGCAAGTGTAAATGCTACAATCATCACCTTGAATAGCCTTGCAGCTTCAAGGCTTGGCTCCTTTCTGCCCGGGGAATCCTTTGTTGGAAGGTGATTAGCTGGCCCTGATTGTTTCTTGTCTGATATTTCCCTGTTTTTGAGTCTTGTTCTTTCTTTATTGTCCTGATTTTAGAGTTTTGTTTTTTTAAAAAAATATTGGTAGCTAGATTTTGTTCATTTTCATGGTTTCTTCTGTTGAACATGAAAGGCACTGCAGACTTCAACCAGAGAAGTCAGCCATAGCAGAGCACCTGGTAAACTAGGACACAGCATATTGAGAACACAGAAATGTTGGACTACTCTAACAACTACCATGCCAGACTACAAAGAGAAGCCACTGAAATCCACAAGAATGTTGACAATTTCAACAGAAAGTAGGAAACCATGAAAATGAACAAAATCCTGCTACCAGTATTTTTTTTTTAAAAAACTAAAATCAGGAGAGTAAAGAAAGAGCAACACTCAAAAAACAGGGAAATTCCAGAAAAGAAACAGTCATGGCCAGCTAACAACTCCCAACAAAGGATTCCCTCAAGCAGCAACCAGCCATGCTTTGAAGCTTCAAGGTCATTAAATGCTAATCAAGGTGGCCAATTGGAACATTTACACCTGTCTGAAGCATATAGGAGTTTTTTTCTCCCACCCTGGACATTCCACAGACATATAAACCTCACTTGCCTAGTTTCCAACAGACCTCCCAACCTCTGAGGATGCCTGCCATAGATGTGGGCGAAATGTCAGGAGAGAATTCTTCTGGGACATGGACACACAGCCAGGAAAACTCACAGCAACCCTATATTGCTTCAAATTGCGGAGGGCAGACAACAAACTCCCCCCAAAAGCTTGGGGAAGAAAACCCCTTATTGGGGTTCCTAATCCTCAGACTTTCCTTGCTTTCCATCTGCAGAGAGAAACTATCCTCTCAATCTTCAATATAGGCTTGAATCTGACTTAAGTCGTCAGTGTAGACAGCGTTTGCTTCCTCATGGGGAAAAAGCCACGGCTCCCAGAGTCACCCTGGTTGGGACATTGTGGCACTTGTAACCCTCCCCCCGAAGTTACTTTTTCCCAAGTCGTGACAAAAAAGATGAGCGAGGATTCCCCCCTTTTCGGAGGAAAGGTTTCCTTTTGCACTTGACTTCCGTGTTATGGAGAACTCCTGAAGCCCATTTTCCTAGTTTCCAACAGATCTCACAACCTCTGAGGATGCCTGCCACAGATGCAGGCGAAACGTCAGGAGAGAATGCTTCTGGAACATACCCATACAGCCCGGAAAACTCGCAGCAACCCACTCCTGAAGCTTCGGTTTGCCTCCTGGTTGGGCGGGGTGTGGAGGCGATCGGGGTGATGATGATCCTCCCTAATTTCTCTGCTTCCCAGTGAAGGGGAGATGGAAGCACTGGGAAGGAAGGCAGCAAATGCTGCATTTGCCAAGACTAAGGAGGACTTGCTTGCAGCTCTCGTAGCGGAGTCCACGAAAGTGCAGTTGAAGATTTGTCGGTTGTGGAGACCCCTCGGCTATTGAGACTCCTCTGGGTGCCCGCATTTTTCCTCAGTTTCCACCCGCGGTTGAGCAAATCTCGATTTTTTCCCTTCTGATGCTCTGTGGGTAATGCTGAGGCGGAGAAGCCTCTCTCTCTCTGCCTGGCCGCTCCTCCCAACTTCCCGAGCTTCTTGCTGAGTCTCGAATTGAGCGGGATGCTTGATCCTCTCTAGATCTCGCTAACTCGACCCGCCTTGTCCTTAAAGGTTCCGGACTGGGGGGAAAAAAGCCACCTTCACTTTCAGGTCCTTCGCTGCCTGTTTGGCCTTGCATTGCCTCAGGTCTCCCGAGGCTAAGCGCCTCCTCACCACCGTCTCCTGACGCTTTATGTACATTGCAAAGCCAAACAGTCTCAGAGACTTCAGGGGGAGCCCTTTCTTCAAGTTAAGAGGGCGCTTTAGAGCAGAGATGGAGAGGGAAACGATATTTGGATTCAGAAACAAAACTGCAAGAGTTGCTGAGAGTTTCCCAGGCAGTATGGCCATGTCTCAGAAGCATTCCCCACATCTATAAGCAGGCATCCTCAGAATTTGTGAAGACCTCAACTGCAACATTCACGCTTGCAGACAAGAGTTCTTTCTTACACAGATCTATAAACCTCACTTGCCTAGTTTCCAACAGACCCCTCAACCTCTGAGGATCCCTGCCATATATGTGGGTGAAAAGTCAGGAGAGAATGCTTCTGGAACATGGACATACAGCCTGGAAAACTCACAACAAACCAGTGATTCCAGCCCTGAAAGGCTTCAACAATGCAAGAGTTCTTTCTCCCACCCTGGACATTCCACAGATCTATAAACCTCACTTGACTAGTTTTCAACAGACCCCTCAACCTCTAAGGATGCCTGCCATAGATGTGGGTGAAAAGTCAGGAGAGAATGCTTCTGGGACATGGCCATACAGCCTGAAAAACTCACAACAAATGAGTGATTCCAGCCCTGAAAGGCTTTAACAATTCAAGAGCTCTTTCTCCCACCCTGGACATTCCATAGATATATAAACCTCAATTGCCTAGTTTCCAACAGACCCCTCAACCTTTGAGGATTTGTGTGTGTGTGACAGTGCAACTTGAGAAACTGCAAGTCACTTCTGGTGTCACAGAATTGGCCATCTGCAAGGACATTGCCCAGGGGACACCTGGATGTTTTACTATTGTGGGAGGCTTCTCTCATGTCCCCGCATGAGAAGCTGGAGCTGTCAGATGGGAGCTCACCTTGCTCTACAGATTTGAACCACCAACCTTTTGGTCAGCAGTCCTTCTGGCACAAGGGTTTAACCCATTGCACCACTGCAGGCTCCACTTCTGAGGATGCTTGTCACAGATGTGGGCAAAACGTCAGGAGAGAATGCCTCTGGGACATGGTCATAGAGCCCAGAAAACTCACAGCAACCCGATGATTCCAACCATGAAAGCCTTTGACAACACACGAAACC